ATAACTATTTTGTGATGATTGCTTGACCTATATTTTTTCATGAAAGATTTTAAACTGCATATTTAATAGTTCATGTGAGTAAATAATGTGTTGCTAGAACTACAGGAAATGACGTCATTATCAGTAGTTAGAATGAACAATAGTTCAAACGATCAATAGTTCAAATGAGCAATAGCTCAAACGGCAGTAGTTCAAATGTGGATCCACCATAAATACATTTATATTTTGTGTAGTTTTAAATCTTTTAGAATATTGTTTTTTTCTAGATTGAACTCTGAAACAAATCTACTATTATATCTGATCATTTCATTATGATTAGTACACACGAGAGAAGATGTTTCGATCAACCCAAGACGCGAATATCACACAGTACAGCAATTAGGTCTTTCGCCTTTGGTCGCGAAACAGCAACATTATCCAGGACTGCAAATAGTGGGCTCTTTGTGACCTTCTTTTTTTACTGAAGAACTCCACTGAATTAGACGCATTATCATGAACACATTAAAGTGCTAAATAATTATGTACACTTTATGTACAGTAGAGGTTGCTTTTCAATACCAGTATATTCGTTTGCCAGATTTTATGATATATATTGACTACAAAACAGATATAGCTCTAGTATATTTGTGTGGACTGTGGTATCACTGGAACAAGCCAAAAATTTGATAAACAAGACGTGGTTCAAACATGGATGGTTCATCTAGAAATTTTAATCAGTGTTTCGAGAATTGAGCCAGCACACAATTTGAAATGGTGATAGGTGGTTCAGGGACGTGGATTAAATTCATAAAATTCAACCTCAGAAATATCAAATGGCATTTAATGAAACATACTATGAGCATAATTCCAAACAAGAGCTGGTATGATCACTAAATATGCATACATTCTCTGTGACATATAGTGATAGGGGATCTTCATAATATAATGAAGACAACTTTTTAATGAGTTTTCATTGTTTATAAGCTTTTTCCAAATTACAAGTTTACAAGTTTACAAGTTATAAAAAAAGAACTTTTTAAGTTGGCAGCATCTCTTGCCTTTTTGAGCTTGATATTAATCAAAAATAGAAATCAAAGGTCGCCTTTTGTATTAATATAATTCCCTACTGCTGTATGTAACTACGTCAGCATTATCAACAGTTTATTCTATATACTTATAACTTACCATTGATCACTCTATGTGACGTGCATTAACCAAAATCAGGATTATAATTCTATTATGATGAAAAAGAATTTTTTTTTATATGTTAACGTTAACTTGTTAGATAAATGATTCGAGCAACTGATTATTAGGTGAAATTTTTTTTTCAAGCTAATCAGTTTGAATAATTTACCATTAAAGTATCGACAATTCTTCTGTTACCAGAAGAGTGTTAGTTCAATTAAGATTTCAAATAGTACAGGGTTACCCACAAAGGATGAGACTTCAGAGAAGATTGTACGGAATTTGTTAAATCTGTTTTCATGCATTCAGGGTTTCTTGTAGGCCAAAATTGTCTTATTTCTTAATCATTAAGTTAGCCATGAAAATACTCAATAGAATGCAGAAACCTACTATCAAACATTGAATTGCCACATATTTTTTGGGTTGTCTTACACTCTCATCCTTTGTGGGTAGCCCTGAATATTCCAGATTTTTGAATATGCATGACAAAGGTATTGTCACTATGAAATTAATTTGTTATCGTATTTATATTTTCAAAATGAAATTCTGCTCTTGCTGTTGTAAAGTTAAAATTTAGTTTTTTCCATAATAAATGGATCTTTGTTTTGAATGTCCATGATCAATAATTCGGTTTTTCTATTTATCTTTTAAAAGGTAACTAAAATCAGCCAGTAATATTTTATAAAAATAAAACACATGCAATAGCATCGACATTATTGAAAAAAGCTTTTTATCTTTTCACACACTAGGCTAAATTCTAATTAATTCAGGGGTTTATACTTGAAGCATCAAAGATGCAATCCAGAAAAAGTTGTAAAAAAATTATTCGCTTTAAATTTCAATTCAAATATTTTCAGAAACTATAAAAATGCGTTATTAATTGTGTTTTGCACAAAATTTCAACAATTTTCCTTTGAAATTTAAGTTATAAAAATATTAAAATATGACAAAAAAAAATCAGAATTTTTTGGGATCAGTGAAATAAAATCCGCAAATCATTTTTTTTTGGTGACACCAAGAGAGAATTATACTTTGCGGTTTCAGTAATTATGGGAAGACCATTTCTTGATTTATCCTTCCAGTATGGGAACTCCATTTTTGAATAAAGCCTGTAGATTGTGTTAAATGCTAAAACATCCAAACAACTGAATTGTGAAAAAATAATGAAAAGAGTTTAAACTTAACTGGTTTCTACTAGTTTCTAGTTAAATGCCTGTACAGATGTTAAAAGCCTTTTTACAATTTTTTTTATATTTTATTTAATTACACAATTTGAAAGAATAAATGTTTTCTCAAAATTTTAGTCAGAAAGTTAAAGGTTTCTATGCATTTCTGGCACTTAAAGCTCTCAGTATTTTAGCCTAAAGCCAATAATGGACTTCAGCAGGAGCAAAAGGGTAAACTGTGAGCGAGTAATCATGGTTTTTAAATTTTTTAACCAATCAGCAAGCCTATTCAACCTCAGAGAACCCATTATTTAAGAATTCAACTATCAGGTTGTGCAAATTCATGATTTTTAAATGTTGCATTTTTGTGTAGTATTTCTTTCAATTATTTATGATTTTTGGAAAATAATAGAAATTTGTTCATTAGATATTCCATTAAATATAGAATTTTTCCATTAAATATCATAGAAATTTTATTTATTAAAAAAATTTGGTTTGGTAGATTTCTTTTTTGGTGTTTTTTGACTGGCATCTAAAGCCAGTTATTGCATAATAACTATTGAGGGGTTAAGTTTTACAACTTTTAAAAAAATACTCCAATTTTTTTCATAAAACATAACCTTAATGAATTTTGTCTATTTTGAAAATTTTGTATTTTGTATCCCAAAAATCCCTGAATAAAGATGTCTGCTGATTGGTTGTGTACAGTATGTGTACACAATAGATTATGCTGTGGAAAATATTGCATATCATAGGTTTCAATTGATCTCTGTTACTCTCTTATCTCTGATCTAAACCAAGGCAAGGAAACTTTTGAGCAAAACATCTCTAAAATCACACACTACAGAAAAAAAAATTTACAATGTACAAAAATATCAATATTTTAACTTTTTATTTAAAAAAAGTAATTACAACATTTAAAGTTATCAAACATTTATTTACATAAAAATTGATGACTTGATGTATAAATGTCTAATTGAACATAAGTTTAATGTGTTCTAAAATATCTTTATCATAGATAACCAGAGCACAGTTTATTACAAAGTAACCAAGTCTACCAATCACTGAATTTGCTTGAAGAGCAATTGAGCTACTCCTTTCCTGGATATGCATGATGAATATCATGCATAGTACGAGAGTACTCATTATCACAAAAACAGTGAGAAATGTGGCTGATCTCATGCAGAGAAGGCTCATCAGTTTTCTCAACTCCAAGTCTTTCCTTTGTTTTGTCCTGATTGGAGCTACTTGTATTCTTGTAGTTTTCAGAAACTGAGTTTTGTTGGACCTAATCATTTTAGCCGGGTGTTTAGGAAGTTGAAGTGATTGTCTCCTTCTGATTTCAACATTAGGTTTTGCGATTGTAGGGAGGGATTCTGAACGATAGCATTTTTTTTGTTTTCTTGGAATTTTCCTTTTCATCTCAGCTGCAATTACAGGCATTACTGCTGCTTGCCTGTGTACCTGAACAACTTTCCTGTATACTGCAATACATATTTTGATCCCTTCCAGTACTAAGGCTAAAAGTAACACAACAACAAGAGTTGGGAAGTAGAAGCAAGGTTTCTCAGCTTTTTCCTTCATGTTAATCTCAACTAAGGACCCATTAAGCCTGGTTAGATTAAGAATTCCCAGCTCTGCCTTTAGAATGTACATAATAGTTCCAGAGTTATCTGATGGAATTATGCTGCAGGAAATCCTATGAGAGGTGCTATCAATTACACTGACAGATATACAGGTGAATCCTGCTATTGTAGCCCACAAGCTTGCATTCACATTGTTGAATGTGGCAGGGCTTGAGAACAAGAGAAGTCTTCCAGCACTAAATGAGAAGAATCCGCATGATACTGCTAGAGAATAATGTTTTAGAGGCATACAGCTTATGCAGAGACCAGGATAAGCTTCCACAAATTCTTTGAGATGCTCATTAAACCAGCAAGCAGTGACTGAGAGTAGATATGATCGGATTGTGGTAAGAAAGCTCAATGAGACAAGGAGGACAAGTAGTCTGTTTAGTAGATTCTTCTGTTGTACTGGCCTGGTGTTTAGAAAATGCAACAGAACATAGGTTGCAAAGCCAGTAACAGTGAATCCTAGAGTGTTGATGCTAAATGTGTAATAGCTTGGCATTTTGGGAGTGAATACGATCAAACAGGCGTAAGTGAAAAATGCAAGAGTTTTTAGAGTAGTGGCATACATGATGTTCAGAGAGAGAATGAATTAGAGTAAGAAAAAATTAACAACCAGGAGTAGAGGCTGCTCAGAGTCAGACCGCACCCACCAACTTTTTAAAAACAATCATAGAAACAATTTGACCACAATGTAATATTTATATATCCCACATCATATTAGACCATCAATGGGTCTTAATTACAATTTTCAGGACTATTCAGAAAATTTTATTAGAATGAATCATTTTGTCGAAAATGCTAAATTTCTTGGGTATTAAGGGTTTATTTTGCCAGAGTTAGCATGTTTGGAGATAATCTGATTTGATATGTGACAATCTGTATGTTTGAATAGAAAACAATTAAGCAGCTATATTACAGTTTTTATTCCGATTATATATGGCAAGCCCTGATGTGCATTGAATGAATCATCCATTTCTTCTGAGATTAAATTTTTAACTTTTATATGCTTTGAACAATTGCAAATTGAAACATCTTTTTAGTTTTCCATGAATTGTTTAACAAATGTATGCAACACTTTTTGACAAAATTTTAACAAAAAAATGTATGCATGTATGTTACACAATCATATTGCGTTGTGATATTTTGAAGATGACGTGATGAAGCTCCTGCTGAAGAATCTATTCTGCCCCTGAAATGTGTACGGCACTGGTTGTGGAGTACACTCTGGAAACTTCTATGAAAACCAAATTCGTTAATAGTTGGAAAAGTTTAATATATAGCGTAAACTTAGACACAGTTTGAACTGAGAATTAGCACTGATAACATCTTGTTAGATGATGGAGATAGTGCTTTTGATTGTTCATGTGTATATTCTTGAGGATTCAATGTGGTAAGCTTTGTATTTCCTTTTATTAAAATTGCCTTCTTTCTTTTATGATTATACTTTCAGATACTTTTAGAGAAATAAATCAACTTATCCTATCCATTCTCACCAACATGAGTAGCTTAAGAGAGAGACGATGGTCCAATCTGTCCAAGATGAATAGCACTTTGTATAATCTATTAGTCGCATTAATAGATGAAATGATGTCTAACATAAGTTTTAAATTAACTGCGCTGTATTATTTTCCACTTTATGATTAAATTGATTTATTCTGTTTTACCTGAAATTGTCTTATTTGAAATGCCCAATTTGTATTTGAATGTTTAAACAATAAATATAATTTTTCTTTCTGTTTTAATATTACAAAATTATGATTTATCACAATCTGAATCTCTACAGAGTTTAAGTTCTGTCTTCTTAAAGAACGAAATTCCACCTCCTGGACCTTGAGGGAACAGACGGTAATACAGGTACAGACTTCTTCCTCCCAGACGATCACCGTGCGCCTAGGGACAGACAGGGTGTCCTACCAAACATAACAGTAGAAAGACGACTTGAAGTTTGTCTGTGAAATAATTTTCAGCATTTCATTCATAAACCTCATTTTAGATATAAAATTCTAAATGTAATATTCACAGAATAACCCTAGTCCTAGCATTTCTAAAATTTAGTCTGCCTTTTTTGTGCTTTTATAATTACTAGAGATAAGAAGAATTGTATTCAGCTGTTGACACTTTAAGTTTTATCTAATAAATTGAAATCTGAAAGAAATTCTTGATATCTCTGTGAATATTGACAGCACAAGAAAAGCAGACCAGATTTTGGAAATGCCAGGACTAAGAAAATTTTGTGATTATCATTTCAAGTTGTCTATCTTTTGTCTAGTTTTGTGGGACATCTTGTATCATGATGGGACAGTTTGATTGATTCGGAACATGTTACCTCTATAGCATTTGATCAATGGACTTTTCGTCTATTTACCATATATAAATAGAACTGTGTTTTGGAAAAAGGCTAAAATAAGGAAAAGGCAAGGTAAGTCAAGGATAATTATCCACCAACTTAAAAAAAGTGGGGTAAAATAATCTTTCCGCACCCTGTATATATCTTTTAACTTTAATTATAAAATGTTCTCTTCTTTGCCCCCTTATCTCTCTCCTTCAGTTACTTCTAGATTCACAAAAATAAGTTAGATGCGAGTGAGGGAAAAGTCTTAACGTATCCCCCTAGACAGGGGCACTACAATATAGAAAAGGGGGTACTAACCCATGATAGGAGGGTTGGATACCAATTCTTCTCAATAGCTGAGCTTCTTGCAACTAATATTCGAGGAGTATTGAAGAATGGAAGATCTCTGTAGACAGTTCAACTCAAACTTATATTTTCGTTGAATTATGCTTTCTTTCCTGGTCTTTACACATGATCAGTTAAAAGATCATAATTGTGACCGATTAAGGAATGCATGATCAAAGGTTGTATGTCAGCTCCATTTTGAAATTTGTTCAACTACACGGTGTTCCAATAAACATGGGAATTCAGTGATGAATTCGATATCCTCTTTGTTATGAATTAGCATTGTATAATACCTAATTTCTAAAACTGAAATATTATTATGTCTGCTAGAGTTTATTTTATGAAAACAGTAAAAGAATGTAAAGATGTGTCTATAATGTCTCCGCAAGATAAACAGTGAAGACGAACAAGTTTACTCTGTTTGAATACTCTTATTTTCTTGTTTTACTAAGTACAACCGTATGCAGTCAGAACATAAACAAACAAATTGTAAACATAGCAGACGAAAATCTTACGGATCACAGTTTTCTAGGTTGGCATCACTATACTAAATCTAAGAATTACTTAAAAAGACGATATCAAATTTGTCACTGAATTCCCATGGTTATCGGGACACCCTGTATCTTCAAATGTTTTATAAAGAAGATTGGAATTCTTGGTTTAATATAATATTTATAATAATATTTATAATTGTAAGAACGATCATAACTTTTGGTTTTTTATTCAAAGACTGGTGGACTGTGGGCGTGGTAGTTTTTAACCTAAACATTAAAATGAATAAAAAGAACATTTTTGGCCCTTTGGTAATGATTGTATTTTCCCAAGTTTGATTGTTGATTTAAACTGTTCCTTGATGTTGTGATATAAATGTTTCCGTTCCATCCATGGTAAACCATTACCCATAGTTCTAGGTACTTGTTCCAGTGCAGTGAGGGGTTCCCACCTAAAGGAACATAAGACAATTTAATTAAATTTTATACAAATGCTAACAGCAATTTATTTGCCTGCCAGTAGCTATTTAACCAAAATTTTTGGACATAATTTAAAGCCGGTTTGAGGCTCAGAGGCTGTTCAAATATTTAGACTTTTCTAGCTAAGACAAACCCCTGGCCTCACTTTAGGCTAAGAGCTGGACCTTAATACCTGCTACCTAAGTCTACAGTCACACTACCTGAATGCCTTGTTTTCCTATACCTGACTAAATCTATGTTTAGGCACCACATAAAGTCATTTGATTTCAACATTTTATAACTCTTTGGAAAGCCTATTACAAAAGAGCAGATTGCGCAAATTTTGGAAAGACATTTTTTACACTATTTTGCACAGACGTCTTTACATAAAAATTTCATAATTTCAATTATTCTTTTGGGTGAATGAGACTTCAGCAGGAATAGGGCTAAAAAATAGTAATACTAAAAAAGCATTTATTTTCATGTGCAATATTCTTATAAACTATATATTTTGCATTTGGGTGCATGTGTGTTCAGGACTGAAATAAAATATTCATATATTAGCTCTTAGAAATAGAAAAAAATATTTGACATTTTACTGCGGATGAATTCCAATTATCTAGTTTTTAAAATAATGAGTCGAATATTTTAAATTTAGAATCGTACTGAAGAATTTTATTTCTTTTTTGAATCAAAATTTTAACAAATTTGGCTGAAACTAAATTCTGAAGTTTACCTGGTTGTAAAACTTTTCCATCAAAATCCCTGTGCAGCAAATATCAAAAAATGTTTGTCAAAAACTTGGAGGGAAAATCTGAAATTAAAGTATTGAAAAATTATGAATAAGATTATGATATTTGTTCCTCAGAGGTTCCATATCCTCAACTAAACTGTTCCTAGAGAACGCTGTTCCATTCCATTTTTTCCAGCCAGACATCTCACCGTTCTGCATCAATATAGAATTGCGATTAATGTGATTCATTTTTTCAAACCAAAGTTTATGTTCTATTTATACACATTTTGTGAGGTAGTACTTCATTAACATTTGTTCCAGATAGAATCAGATTTCAAAATCTAACTACGACCAATACCATGTTTCAAAAATATATGTACTTTAGTGAAGTTTACAATGCCCGTTGATTCTGTATGATTCCTACATGGTTCTGTCAATATTCCAGAAAGCTGGGAATGAAAATGTATAACATAAACAAATCTGTAAAGTAAATGATTATTGAATAAAAGACCAAAACACGTTTGATTTCAAATATGAGAAACCGAATGCTGCTCACTCTGGTTAGTCCGGTGTGAGTGCAAAATTTGAACAAGGCTTTAATACTTCTTGCTATTAGTTAACCCTATCCCGATTAGGCTTCCCTCCCCCTACCCCATATATAAAATAAATTGATAAATTTGTTCACAACCATCAAATTGAAAAAAAGTGAAGAAGTTTGAATCTAATAGTTAAGGCCATTTTTAGGTTATAAAGAAAAAACCACAGGGTGTGGATCCTCCCCCCCCCCTCCCCTAATAGGGATAGGGTTAGGAAACTGATTATAGGACGCCAACTCTGATTTTCTAAGTTTTATTTCTTTGCAAACCCATGATATTTATACTATGAACTTTGTTATATCAACTGATCAACGTGACCACCATCAAATTGCAAAGATATAGGGATCAGAAAATAAAAGTTTTTTTGAGAGAAATTAATCAATTTTACCATATTGTAGTTTACAGCTGCCGACATACTGGTTCCCATATACCATCTCTTATTCTTCCAATCCCAGATAACATCCTTGCAAGCATGGTTAAATAAAATAAGAGATAGGTCACTAGATGTCGTCTTTTCAAGATTCCTGTGTGTTACGTTCAAAATAACCCTGAGGCAGCAGTTCAGAGGAGTTGCGTGTAGTTGGCACTACACATAACATTTTTCTATTGGAAAGACTGTAACAACTCCTCAGAATGCATTCAATCAATTCCCTTATCTTCAGTTCCAGAAAAGCTGGTTAAACTGGTTTACCTGATCTCCTGTTCCTGACCAATCTGGTTGAACTGGTTTACCTGATCTCCTGTTCCTGACCAAGCTGGTTGAACTGATTTACCTGATCTCCTGTTCCTGACCAAGCTGGTTGAACTGGTTTAACTCCTACAGTTATTATTCTACCCCTTTCAACCCAGGAGACACCAAAATCTTTACTGCAACCTAGAGCCACAGACTTGAACGCCATACCTTGGGAAAAAATACTTCAAAATATCCTGCTTCCAGCGGAACTCATGAAAAACAGAAGATTAAAAAAGGTCTACTCAGCATATAAAACTAAAATATAGGAAAAATTTCCAAAAAAAATAAATTAATTCTGAAATAGCATTTAAAAGTGCAAACGTCTTGATGAAATATTCAATATTCATTCGTTGTTATTTCCATTTTGTTTAATTCTTTTTGGCTTGTGGATTGTGGACTCAAAACATAAGACATGTTTTTAGTTGGACGCACTTTATGCATTAAAATATCAAAAAAGAGGCGCAAAGTGCCATGAATTTTGATCTCATATTAGTATTTAAAGATGTATTTTAAGGCGTGTACCTCCTGCTCCTGGATATTGATCTTCTGTATGGAAGAATCCAACCATGCTTCCCTCAGGATCCGATAGATGAGCTTAATATTTAGAGCTTGGAAATTTTGAATGATGGATATACAATTACAGGGGCGTAGTGGAGGCCTAGGGGGTGCACTTTTGGCAAGCGTAAGCGCGCCGAAATTTTTTTTTTTTGTGCACCCCCCTAAAAAACCGGTATTAAGAAAATATAAGTTTAAAATCAATATTTATCTACCTGAAGACTGACTATTAGTCATCTAACCATAATTACCAATCATTTTAAATGAAACCCACGAAAAAAATATTGCAAATAAGATTCAATCTTCCGCTGAACAAATAATGAGGCGGAGGGTATTCACCTCATCCTTGTCTGGACAAAGATTTAAAGGTTACCATGTGAATCGGACATGCCTTTCGATAAATGAAAAAATGATTAACCTGACATTAACCACATTCCACCATTATTATAGGCATCAGAACTCAGTTTTCCTCCAGCTATTTTGTGCCTTAAAATATCGTTAAATAACAAAAGATATTTTATTTTTATTAACAAGAATATCATTATGATATACTTTTATTAACAAGAATATTATTTTATGTATGAAAATAGATGGAATTTTTTAATGATAGAGAAGAGAGGAACGTAATTTAGGCATGGGTTTTCTGGTTCAAGCTTTTCTGAACTGTAGGATGGTTCTTATTGATGGGCGAAAATGTCTTTTTTAGAATAGATAAATAAATATATGAAATGTATTTTGATTATCTTTTGAGCAGGGGCGTCTACACCCAGTGCAGGCTAAATATGTGTTCATGGAAGTTCCAAGCTTTAGAATTTCCACATTTTAAAAACTTCCTTGCTCTTTTAGCCAGCGGTTTATACTTTACCAAGAGTTAACCCAAGACCAATTTTGTTCGAGGGAACTCATGGTTAATTAAAGATTTTAATTTCCAGAAAAGTATCGCCTTGCAGAAAATGTGTAAATTATCGGAGTCGAGTGGAAGGTTATTATACTTAATTGCAGGGGGCGGAAACGTCATGGGGGTGTCTCTGTACCAAATGAGTGTGTGTAAGGAATATCGAACTCGTCTGCAAAGCAGTGCGACTGGCTTTCTCATGCCAAACCAGTGCCATTTTCCTTCCCTTTATTCTTATTCCCTGGTTAATTTTCACAAGGGACGTTAATAACTTTACATCAGGAAAGCAAAGGTCGGTAAAATGTTGGTTAGAAGGCGGTAAAAAATTAACAGCATTTATAAAATCCCATCTTAGGTAAAAGATGTTACTTACGGTGGACTCAACTTCCGGCTCTTGTCTGGCAAAGGAACTTGGCCAGTAGTCCTGTAGATCAAAATAATCAAACTAGATTATATAGAGCTGGCCACAGTTTTGTGAAAAAAGGAAGAATTTTGAAAATTGATTATATGAAATTCTGTTAAAGGACAAACAGAGTTGTTCACCATTATCTAAGATACCGAGCAGAATGAATTTTATTTTTTTAATATAAAAACGGATGATTTTTTTTGCCTAATTCGAACTTAAATAAAATATTTTTAAATCTATGTTAAGGCAAAGTTCATTTAGAAAACTTATTAGTCTAAAATAATAAATAGTATGTTTCACATTACAAGAGGTTCCTTGGTCTGTGACGTTATATTAATAAACCGTTAAAGAACGGATTTAATAAATTATATTTGTGTCCAGCCCTATTTGTTAGAATTCATATCAACAAAATTAATACCTGAAGCTTTCATGGTTAGGATAGAAAATTATCCACTCTCCTGTCTTACTGTCTTTTAACGTGGATAAATGTCCATCTTTAAGAAACAATAGAAGTGTATTTATGTTATGTAAACTATGAAACAAAGATGGTTTTTGTATTGTTTATCCTATTCTTAATATTTCTATAGTTCCAACAAATTTAGTACTTTAATCTATATCTTTGCTTAAATATACGAGGGATGTTCAATAACTTTTGCGAAAAATTTTTTTAACGTTATACTTTAGAAATTTAAGCCCTTTAATTTTTTTAAAAGTTCACTATATTTATACCGGTTCAATTTTTTGACCACCTAATATCGATCAGATATTATGTTGGACGCAATTACCTTTCTCCCGGAACCCGTTAACGATGCTTGTCACAGTCTAGATATCTTACATAAACACTTTATCGATTTAACCGTGTACACAGCACAAGAGGTTGGGTAACCTTAAAAAGTCAAAGGAGGGGCTGGGTAAGCCTTTATTGTAAATAGGGTCCTTGAAGTTCTAATCTACATTTCAGCAAACAAATTAGTATCTTTTCCTAAGACCTCTCTGGAGCAAATGTTGTCCAAATCTTTGCCAGATTACATAGAAATAAAAAGTTTGGCGAATAAAGTTTGTTGGAAGAAGAAAACCGAAGAAGATACAGGGAGCTTTGAAAAAAATCAGGGCTGGGACATCTAGAAGTTCATTTAATTGTTTCCGCAAAACTTATTAAACATACCTCGTATATATTTTGACAAGGACCCAAGGAAGTTACGTGCACATGCCGCGTTGAATTATAAGACATAAACAGAGGCTGTTCTAGCCGTGGTGCTCGGCCCCTAGAGTGTCCTAGCCGTCGCACTCAGCCCCCTAGCCTGTCCTAGCACCAGCGATCAGCCCAGGTGTCTTAACCCCCCCCCCCCCAACCCTAAAATATAAACAAATCTCTCTCTCTTCCTGTGATTCGACGCTGTTTAAGTGCAGTACATAACTTCCTTGGGAAACTGCCTATATCTGTTAGCTATGTCATATATTATATAGCTGGCCAAACGACTGGATTTGTTTTTCAAAAATCTAATGTCTCTGCAATTACTTTAATTAACTTCTTTGTAATATTCAATATTCAATTTATCTAGTTCTACGGAGTTGTTTGTATACTATTCTAGGGAGTAGTTTGTATCTTTCTTTACGAAGTAGTTTGAATCTAGTTCTATTGTGTAGTTTGTATTTGGTTCTACGGAGTAGTTTGTATCTAGTTTTATGGAGTAGTTTGTATATAGTTCTACGGAGTAATTTTTTTTTATCTTGTTCTACGGAGTAGTTTGTTTCTAGTTCTACAGATATAGTTGTTTCTAGTTTTACAGAGTATTTTGTATCTAGTTCTGTCTAATTTGTACATATTTCTATGTATTCCTGGCATCCATGAGTACGTTGGCCAGCCTACATTATTAAGAACTGTTTCTGCTACCACGCCAGGTAAACTCCAGGTCCAGTTTATAGCAGGCTTATTGTCTGGGTATATAGTTGTAAATAGATTACTTCCAGGGTTATAATCACATCCATCCCCTAGACATATATTTATACATTAGACAAGTCACGTTTAAGTCCGGTTCATTTCAAAAACCAACTAACCAGCTAGAGCGAGGTAAACTCCAGGTCCAGTTTATAGCAGAGTTATTGTCTGGGTATATAGTTGTAAATAGATTACTTCCAGGGTTATAATCACATCCATCCCCTAGACATATATTTATGCATTAGACAAGTCACGTTTAAGTCCGGTTCATTTCAAAAACCAACTAACCAGCTAGAGCGAGCTGAACAACACAAATGTATATTATACCTGGTTAAGCGGGACTGTACACCTAATGAGCGAGACCCTTCTAGGGAAATTCGATCATGTGCATGAAGGGTGAGTTAAAATGTTTTACATGCAACATTATACAAGTTAAACAGGGTTTTAAGGGGAAAATATGAAAATGTAGTTTATAAACGCAAAAATAATCTTTATTACAAATATGTGATTCAATTCATACCGGTGGTAATTTCAGTGTCAACCCTTTACTTATCTTTATCTACAGAGATAATTGATTGAAAGCAATGTTTCCTTATAATTTTACCTCCCGTCATAAGCAAAAAAGGAGGGTTAGTAGTAGTCGTCGTTGTTGTTGTTGTTGTTGTTGTCGTTGTTGTTGTTGTTGTTGTTAATGTTGTTGTTGTTGTTGTTGTTGTTGTTGTTGTTGTTGTTGTCGTTGTTGTAGTTGTTGTTGTTGTCGTTTTTGTTTGCTGAACTAGGAATAGAAAAAAATCTAATTTTTTTAATGACTATAAACATTTAATAAATATTTATCTATAATTACACTCAATTCACATGCAATACAGCAATTAAAAAATCAAGGTTAAGAAAAAACTTTAAAAAATGAGTAATTGGCAGTTTTCCAGTCTTTTCTATACAACTTTTAATTTATTAAAATTCAAGAATTGTACGCAATCAATTTATAATTTAGACAAAATATTAGGTTAAGGTTTACAAATGTTTTTTTAGCAGAGAGAATCTATTTTTAGAGACAGTTTTAAAATTCAAGAGTTTGATGAATATTACCCCCGGCCCCCTGCCCTTGGGTTATCATAAACCGTTTTTCAAAGAACCTATGGCAACAGCGTAAGGTATGTGAAATTTCAAAGTAAAAAGTTTTGGAAAATACATGAAATGTGTGCAATGTAAAAAGTTGTGGAAAAGTGCATGAAACGTGTGTACTGTGCAATGTAAAAAAAAATTCCGAATGAATATCTGAAATAGACTGTTCTTGATTCAAGATCTAAAAATCTTATCAATGGTTTTAAAAACATTAAAAAAAACTTACTCTTTTTTAAAGATATGATGAATATGATTTTATCGAAAGATATTAAAGATTGTGCTATATTAAAGATATTAAAGACGGTATCATATTAAAAATATCAAAGATGGTGTTATATTAAAGATATTAAAGATGGTATTATATTGAAAATATCAAAGATGGTGTTATATTAAAGATATCAAAGATGGTGTTATATTAAAGATATTAAAGATTGTGCTATATTAAAGATATTAAAGATGGTGTTATATTAAAGATATCAAAGATGGTGTTATATTAAAAATATTAAAGATTGTGCTATATTAAAGATATTAAATTTGGTGTTATATTAAAGATATCAAGGATGGTGTTATATTAAAGATATCAAAGATGGTGTTATATTAAAGATATTAAAGATGGTGTTATAGTAAAGATATTGAAGATGGTGTTATATTAAAGATATTAAAGATGGTGTTGTATTAAAGATTTTAAAGATTGTATTATATTAAATATATCAAATATGGAGGATGGAAAGAACACCATAAATCTCTATATTTGAGTTAAGACTCTTAAGATAAGTTTATAACGAGTTAAAAATAAAGCTCCTGCAAGCCAACTAATCTAAAGTATGTAATTTGCTTTAAATTAAATACTTAATTTTATCAGTACACTTGACAAATATAAGGGCCGTTCAAATAAATTTAAAAGAGAATATTTTTCTCAGAGAAGTCAGTTTTCAACACGTGATGGAAACCAAATAGATTATCAATTACAATAGGTGGCAACAGAGACATGGACCAATTATATACGACGTCACAAGTGTCAAATATACCAAGGAAGACAACATTCTCTTCCATTAGTTGACATGTTTTCCAAGATTAGATAAAAAAGTGTAAAAACAGAAAATAAAGAACACAAAATCAAACTTATTTCACTGTAAGATCAGCACTTTATTATCACAATTATAAGTAATTTTGTCGGACAAATAAAACTGTTGACACTTGTGACGTAAGAATACATCTGTACTGAGAGTGTACAAATTCTACGTTGTCATCTATTGTACTTGATAATCTATTTGATGGAAACCATAATTGTAAGTTTCTGTTTAAAAAAAAGCTATTCTTTCTGATCGACTTTAAAATTGTAAAACCTAAGTCTAATTGAAAAATTTTTTTAACAAAGCTGTGATTTGAAGATTTGACGATTTATTCTGGCTCAAATTTGTCAGGATTTTTTCGGAAAAATATCAAAAGATCAAATGGCCAAATGATCAAAACTCTTGAAATGATCATAAAAGTGTACGCTTAACAGTAGGGGCAGCTACTTACTTTGCCACAAACTCTATCTCTATCTATCTATGTTTGAAGTATAAAAGGTTACATCATCAGGTTGCAAAGATATGGAGATAAAATTGTTTGAGGTATAGCCTCAATTTTTAAGAAGTACCGGGACGATTTTCTATCTTTTTTTTGGTGAATCTTAACAAAATAAAAATTAAGCCTGATAAAACACCCGGTTTGTATTGTATACTATACAAATTAATTAACTAGCCTTAGAGGTTGGCCCGGTACCTCATATGAACTGTTTTATGTGTTCTCTCTCGTGGCACAGTTTCTCGTAATCCTTTTCAAGACACTTTTGACTATCTATGTATTAAAGCTTTTCGCTCATATATATTTATATTTTTAGGTATATATGTTTAAAGCTATACCCGGCCAAACGGCTGGACCGAATTGGATAAAAAAAATTAATGAAACTTTTTTTTTAAAATTTTATTATTAAAAATTTGATAGGCTAGCCGGACAGTTCAGCTACTATCATCTGTTACGAATCAAAATAGATAGTGTTATTTCTAAATATCGGGAGAGAAGGTGCGGAGATCCCGTATTCTACGTATTCTACAACAACAAAAAGAACTAAATATGAAGACCCTTAAAATTGTATACTTAACGAAGCCAATTGAATAATATTTACCAAACCATGAATAGAAATTTAACTAACGAATTCTGACAAATTTCCATATTTAATAAAGTAAGGATTCAAAATCCGGAGAAAATATCAACATATAGATAACGAGGGGTTTCATGCAAACAGAGGTCTCCAAATATCATTATCTTTTTAAGATTTTTATCTTGTTCGTAACACCGAAATTACCTTATACATTTCCAATTTAAGAACATTTTGATAAAGATTATGAACAGAATCTTAGAGATATAGAACTTTATGATATAATTATGTATCATCTCGAAACTTACTAGCTGACTTTTTGATCAAGCATGAGTTCATTTTTTGGCAAAAAAACACTTCGTAACTATATCCTTTAACCTCCCTCTCTGTGATCATGTAAAAGACAATTCAAACTTCTCAAACGAGAATTACAATAACTTTTAACACTGTACGCAGAAAATGGTTAAAGCACGTCAATTAAAATAAAAGAACAATTTTTAAAAAACTATAAGGACTGTTTTATTATATATTTAATTGTTTATTTGAGCTTCTAAATAAATACATTATGCCATAAAAAATATATAAATAATGCCCTAGTTGACAAATTTATGAATAAGGCGCCAAATACATGTCACGCTTTTTAATTAAACCAAATTATTGCACGAGGTAGAACCGAACATCATGTAGGCCGCCATATTAAAAATTAATAAACACATGTATAAATGTCGGCCATTTTGAAGTTGTGTCAGATATTATCCGAAGTGAGCTGGGCCAGCATGATGGGGCGCATGATGAATTGGTCTGGGAGCGTATGGAGCGGGAGCAGCATGGTAGGGAGCAGCATGATGGGCAGGTTCAGGATAGACAGGAACACCTTCATACTTGACATCAGCAACAAATCCTCCAATATGATCTGCGTGGTATGTCACAATCTGGATTCTGCCATCAGGGAGCGCAACTCTAAACCACAGAAAATGTTAAACAAAATAAAAAGCATGATGTGCTGTGATGCAAAATGAACAAGATAACTGAGACGATTTAAAAACTTTTAGGTTCTTTAACCACTACAACAATTCAAACTCTATTCTAAATTCTTTACAGCTAAAATTTTTCAAAAGTTATCGGATAGCGAAATCTAAAGAACGTACAATCAATATAAATGGAAAAAGAGAGACCATATCTGGAAAATAACAGTACTTATAGGTGTAATTTACTTGTTTTAAGAAGCTTCATATTTGTCTCTAACCAGGATTTTTTGTTAATTATCCTGTCAACTGATGAGGAAGTATGATTTGGAACAAATTCAACTCTTTACAGGAAATTATAATATTAATTGGCATGATCATGTGTGTCTACTGTCTATTATTATACAATATTGCTGATATGGAGAACTAAAATCAGCAAACCATGAAACTTGAAAATATAAAATATTTCCTTCCTACACTATAGAATATAAAATTCAGCTATTTAGCTGAATTCTCTAGTAGGGCTGGGCAAAATACCGCTAACGAATTGTTAACTGAAGAACCTGTGAACAAAAAATTAAAATCGTTGACCGGCAACTTGCATTAATTTTTCAACCTAAAATTGCATTAAATTTTCAGAAATTCGGAAAACTTATCGTATTTTTATGTTGTTTTTTTTGAAACGTTTTTTGATGTTTTAAAACACGTCTTCAATTGTTATCTATTTTTACATAAAATAATCGTTCCTATATTGTGAACGTGCCGTTCACAATATAGGAACTGCTAGCAATTTCTGAAATATCTTCCGTTAAGGCCTGTTAACGAAAAGATCGTTCCGTTCTAAATTAAACAACCATAGGCAACCTGAAAAGTTTTTTTTAAAACGATTTTAACTAACTTTTAACAAATGATAAAAAAAGACTGAACGTAGCCAGCCCTATTCCCCAGTCCCAACTCCGTGTACAGTATACATACAGTGTACTTTACCATGTATTCTCCAGTACCTAATCCATGTACGGTATACATTAACAGTGTACTTTACTTGTAAATTCTCCAGTCACTGCTCTGTGTACACTGTACAGTATAAGTGTACTCTATTCCGTGAAAAGTATAAAGTGTACTTTACATGTATTCTCCGGTCACTACTCCGTGTACAGTATGCATCAAATAGATTATCAAGTACAATAGGTGGCAACAGAAAAAGTAACCAATTATACACGACGTCACAAGTATTAAATATAACAAGGAAAGCGAAATTTTCTCACATTAGTTGACATGTTTTCCAAGATTAAATAAAAAAAGTGTAAAAACAGAAACTAAAGAACACATAAAATTGCACTTATTTTACTATAAGAAAAGCACTTTATTCTAAAATTATCACTATTATTGATGATTTTGTCGGACACAAAATCTGAATTGACACTTATGACGACAGAATACAAATGTACTGAGAGTGTACAAATTCTACGTTGCCATCTATTGTACTAGAATCTATTTGGTATGCATACAGTGAACTTTACCAGTATTCACCAGTTACTACTCCATGTACAGTATAAAGTGTACTCTTACCTGTATTCTCCAGTCACTACTCCGTGTACAGTATAAAGTGTACTCTACCAGTATTCTCCAGTCACTACTCCATGTACAGTATAAAGTGTACTCTACCTGTATTCTCCAGTCACTACTCCATGTANTAAGTAGAACTTTCCCCAAACGTACTATTTGAATATGTTTTATATAGAGATCTCTGCTTTTAAAGTGATATTCAAATATCACGTTATAATTATATAATATAGTACTTTTCTCTCTTTAGCACGTTTTTTCCAAACAATATAGCACGTTTTTAGATAGAACTCTACTCCATAAAAAGATTTCATTAAAGATTTCAAGGTTAAAGAAGGCTTCTGCTTTCTTTAAATGGTTTGCTAAATAATTAGGATAAGAAAGAACCAGTTTACAGTTTCAGATAATTATAAATATAAGATACAGACAATTTAAACTCTGTACAGTCGTCTCTGAAGTCTAATCCTTTATGGGTAACCCTGTATTATGTATGGGTCGTCCAACTTAAGACATGACTAAGGGTTTTTATTATTTTTCTCTTGACTCCTTCAGTTTTTAATAAAACCAAGTTAAATTATAGTACAGGGTTACTCACAAAGGACGAGACTTTACAGACGACTGTACGGAGTTTATTCAGTCTTATTTCTTACATGTCTAGCTTCCCACAGCTTTCAATAGCTCATTATTGTTACCAAATCATTAAATAAACCTTTTAAAGACTGTTTCCAGGGCAGTAACCAAAATTATACCTTTAAGTTGTCATGTTTGAAGAGTTTAAGGTACTCATTAAAGGGAGTGTTCGGGATAAATGAAAGGGGGTATAGGCTTAATGCGATAAAAAAGCGCTTTTGATAGCTAATAATCTTACTTCTATCTGTTGCGTCTATAAGGAGAAAATTGTAACGGTCTAAGTCGTATGTTGCAATTTTCTCAATTTGTATGGACACTACGTTCTTAGGTATGAGACGTCTTTAACAATTTTCTCCTTACAGACGCAACAGATAGAAGTAAGATTTGTAGCGATCAAAAGCGCTTTTTTATCGCATTCAGCCTATACCCCCTTTCATTTTTCGCGAACACTCCCTTTAAAGTCTCATTCTTTGTGGGTAACCCTGTATCTAAATGAAGGAAATCCCAAGTAAAACCTATATTTAGATATGTAGGAAATACTGAAAATGGAGCTTCCTTGAATTCTAAAATAATGTGTTTAGTCTTTATTCGAATTTCATATAGTGCAATTCGTTTTTCCTAAGTCTGTCACTAGTTGTCCATTGTTGATTATTTTGCTATACTTAAAGAATTTTCATTGCTATTATAAATATGAAAACTGCCATAATCTTTTTGCAACGTTAAACTTTTTTGCTTCATACAATTATCAAAACGTGGTTTTCTAGGTGCTTACGCAGAGGAGAATGGGAGAAAACTGCCAACATTTGTCCTTTATAGTTTGATTAAAGGGTCCCTTGGATTAAATTACGTTAAGCAACCCTTGATATAAAAAGTTGATTTCTTTATACCTGAACTCCAAATTCGTAGGCATAGGGGCGGGGGGCCAACTTTTCATAGGGATCAGGGGCGTAGTGTGGCGCAGGATGGTATGGGGCAGGGGCAGGGTGATAAGGGGCAGGTGCATAGGGGCTATGATGAGGATGATGAGGGGGTCCACTGAAGAGATCAGGGGCACAGGCCCCTAAACCAACGATAGTGGATAGAATCAAAACCTGGGGAAAAAGTATTTTATTTAAAGCATAATAAAAAATCAATTTAATAACAAAAACATTTTTCATTTCATCAAAATCATCAATTTCCTTCTTTTCTACATACAACAATGATATTCTACAATAAAAAGATTTTATATAGATTATATAAGTTCAGTAGTTGGTAATTAGGGATGATTTTTTTTTCAAATATTTCTTATACATTACTTCAGAAATATTACGAATGTTGCAAGTTTTCTCATCTTTTAATTTGACATATTTACATGAATACAAAAAGTTCACCAAATTATTTCTTGAAATGTAAAGTTATTAAAAAAAATGTCATAATTTTTTTTCTTGAAGCAAGAAAAAGTAAAACATGTCCCATTTATAATTTCACACTTTGTCTGTCACCTTCATCTCAGCAGCTATTGTGTCTAGGTTGAAAGCTGACGCCAAAGTGCGGATATTTACGCACACATACGCTTCTGATGCATGCGTCACGCTGTTTGCGCTTTCATCTTTACGCACTTTAAACACACAGAGCATCGTTCGTCAGAGCGGGACGAAAAGTGCGTTAATAAATATCTATCTAATATGTCTGATCTATAAATCAATATAATGGAAACCAAATATGCATAAGTTAGTTAAATGTCGCCACTAAATATCTTTTGTTCTTTTGTTATTTCCTCCTAAAGGGATTGTAACCTTAATTTGGAGTGATCCTCCAATTAAAAAGGGACATACTCGAATCACAAAGGTACACATCAAACCTAGGGCTGGACACGTTCCAACTTTTTAAGCCGTTTCGTTAACGGTTAGTTCCAACCGTTTTTTAAAAACTTTTTAAAACTTAATGGTACCGTTTCTTACAGAATGAATGGCGTTAACGGCGCAAAAATCCGAAAAAAACGGTAACGGCACAGCCGTTAACGGTCTATTACAGTATTAACAGGCTGAACGGCGCGTCAAAAAAATTTAAAACATCAAAACACTTTTAAAAAAAATAGTTTTTTTACAAGTTTATGGCAATTTTAAGCAAAACTAAAAAAATCACCATTTAAAAAAAATCCCTTCCGTTTTAGTTTTCATCCATTAATTTTTTATTCAAAACAGAATCTTCCTTTTATTTTCAAAAACCTCCGTATCGTTACCAGAACTTTGCCCAGCCCTAATCAAACCTTCGTCTAAACAACAATGCCAAATATATCATTATTTTTCCATCTGAAAATTGATCATTTGAAAAGATCGTCTCTTTTGAAAAGCTACGATATCTTCCTCGTGGTTGCTCCGATTTTATGGGGTTAAGAGTGCCGTTTTTGATCAGGCATGAGCTCTTTGAATGAAAGTGTCACATAAAATAAGGTTGACAATCCCTTTATCCCACCTTCGAACCCCACGCCGTTTATGCTTGTTCTTCCGTTAATCAGGACGTTTTAAGTAGAACTTTCCCCAAACGTACTATTTGAATATGTTTTATATAGAGATCTCTGCTTTTAAAGTGATATTCAAATATCACGTTATAATTATATAATATAGTACTTTTCTCTCTTTAGCACGTTTTTTCCAAACAATATAGCACGTTTTTAGATAGAACTCTACTCCATAACTTTTTTCAAGTTTTTCAAGTAATCAGTATGTTTCCAGAGATATTTATTCCTTATGTGCTGAGCACGTTTTAAGAATGAATATTGTGGAATCCCTCGCATGTTCTAACGTGCTATTCAAATAATTCAGGAATTTTTCTATCTGTTGCGTCTATAAGGAGAAAATTGTTAAAGACGTCTCATACTAATTAATTTGTTTTANACTTCCCCCCCCTGTGTTAAATCCTGTGTCCGCCAATGCTCAATTGAAACCGGTTTTTGGCAGATTTGAGACGCGGCTCAAATTCATTAAATTCGGACTCATGGTCTGTCATTAAAGTCTAATCCCTGGTAGAACACCCTGTATGTTTTGTATACTAGAGGGTGACCTACAATATTTGATCGTTTACAGCTCTAAATAGCAATTTTCGGGACTAATCAGAAAATTTAAAAATAATTAATCATTTAACAAAATTCTATAAGGATATATAACAATTTTGTTGCAGAAAATACTAGGTTTTTTGATAATTATGTGCGTATTCTGTCGTTGAATCTTGGAGATAATCCAATATGATATGGGACGCTTTGTGTGTGTGTAAACTGTATACTGCATCAATAAATCAAATGTATCAAGGTTATAATGCAAGGAAAGTTATTTCAGAGGTGTACGCATCTTTTGTACTGCAGTGTACTGTCTCTTCGCGGTAATGTACACACAAGACGGATGTCACAGCCTGACAAGGGATCCATCTTTAACACAAAAAAATAATGAAATATTCTGGTCAAAGGAAACTATTACGTTAATTATCAAAATTATCAAAATTAAATGCTTTTATCCACCACGCATAGTAAACAGCACTGATGCATCTATTCTTGTTCATAAATTCCACCAAGAGAGAACTGGTTTCAATATGAGCGCGCGCAGATTATATGCAACTGCAATTAACTTTCCTTGCCTTATAACCTTGAAATGTTCTCACCAACCAAGAATATCTGCTAAACTCCCGTTAGGGTTAAAATAAATTATAATAAAAATCATCAATTATTGATAAATTTTAGTCTCCAATTTACGTTTTAAAATAATTTTATTTGTTATCAGCTGTATTAAAGTTCTACTAATCTCCAAAGACTCTCGATATAAAGACGATGCAATTGAAATCTACAGGGTGTCCCACGAAACATGAGAGATGGTAAATAGTTTGGAATGTCTTCTTCCATATGGTGTATTAGATATCAAAGACTTGTTGCAGTTTATTTTGTTCTTAAAAATCTTTTCCCAAATATATTTGAAATTAATTTTAATATAATATGACTGCCATGTAATATTTTTATTGTTCTGTTTGGTATCAAACCACTTAACAAATTATGAAAGAAGACATTTTAAACTATTCACCTATACTGCCATGTTTCGTGGGACACCCTGTATCTGACTATTGTGTACGCTCTGTACAGCTGTACTTGACGTCATTGGTTGGTTGCTTGAGCGTTTAACAATCAACATTATTACAGTTATTTTAAACACAAAAAGTTATTTTTTTTTGGGCTAAAAGTGAACAAAAACTAAGGCCGTCTGTCCTAGTATACGATTTTTGGACCCTCAAAAGCGCTTTTTTATCGCATTCANCCCCCCCCCTCTCCCGTATATCTCTCTTTACCCTTCTTAACATTTCCACTTGTAGATGCTTTTCTTAAAATATGAATTTCCGAATTCAAATTCAAAATATATAATCTAATATTCTAATTATGCATCACGTCAACACATAAATTTCACATGATCTTGAAATTTGTTTGTTTTTAATCATAAGTATTTAGTGGCCTCCTTTCGAAGAGCTATCTAGAATTGAGCATAAGTGTTTTGAATTTCTTGTATGTAGATACAATGTAACTAAATAAATTGGCTTGTAAAAATCAAAACTAGTGGAGTTATGGGGTCATAAAGTTGTACCAGTAATGCCGAACAAATGTATACCTTAGCTCCTTTTTTCTAAAACACATCAATGTAGAATGAAATATTATACGTATTGACTCCATTAAACATATATAAATGTGTAATATATATCTAACAAATTTAATTTGTATAGTGTAAAGACTTTATTATGTTTCACTCTATAATATATATCAAAATCTTTTTCATTCAACTGTAAGATGACTTTTCATTTTGTTTACAGTTAAAGTACTGTTTGAAAAAGGCAAACATTAACACATAGAACGGAAAATTGATCAATGAACCTTAAACAATAAATGCTATTTGTTTTTAAATCAATATTGTCCAAATTAAGGTATAGAATGATTTTGATTATCACTTGATCACACGATCACTTGATTACACGATCACTTAATCACATGATCGCTTGATGACACAATCACTTGATCACACGATCACTTGATCACACGATCACTTGATCACACGATCACTTGATCACACAATCACTTGATCACACGATCACTTGATCACACGATCACTTGATCACACGATCACTTGATCACACGATCACTTGTTCACACGATCACTTGATCACTTGATCACATGATCATTTGATCACACAATCACTTGATCACACGATCCCTTGATCACACGATCACTTGATCACACGATCACTTGATCACACGATCACTTGATCACACGATCACTTGAT